CATTCCTTGTTCTGAAGACTACATGTTACGATGATTAGTGTCACATGGTAACTTCCTACATTCTTTTATTTCAATCTAGCTATGACTGTATGTTAAAAGTAGATTTCTTATAGACAACATATAGTTGGTCTTGGAAAGCTCTTAATTGGTGTATTTAAATCACTGAGGATTAAAGGACTGATATTTGAGTTAGTACTTACACATTTGTTTCTGTTTATTTATTGCAATTGTATTTTGTTTCTTTTTTTGCTTTCCCAATGATTTCTAGTTTTAATTGAACATTTTATACAATCCTAATTTTACTCCTCGCTTACCATATCAATCACACTTAATTTTTAAAATAAATTTAGTGGTTGTCCTCAAGTTGGCAAAATATGTTTGTAGCTATTCTTAGCCAACTTTCAAATCACACAACACCACCTCCTGGGTGGTATATGTACCACATAACAGAGTTCCCAATCCCTCCTTCTATCCCTTATAACATTACTGTCATTCATTTCACTAATGTATAAGCTACAAGGATCTGATGTATTTTATTACTATAATTTTTATCAGTTAGGTCAAGAATAGGAAAAAGAAAACACTATTTTATCTCCATTGTTTCCTTTGCTAGCACTCTTCCTTTCTTTATGCAGATATGAGTTCATGTACACTCTTGTCTATTCCATTCTTCATTCTTGTTTCAGTGGGTTTTCGTTTGTTTGTTCTAGTGTTTTGCTTTTGTTCTAGTGTTGCCTTTTGATTCCTTCTTAGTCTTTCCATCTCTCTGCTTACATTATCCAATTTCAAGGCAGCAGTTGACTTTATGGTCTCACACCTTTGCTGGATCTATTAAGAGCTGCTAATTTTGTTGATTTAGCCTTGTTCTTGTAAGGACAAACATGATGACTTCTGCACTCCTTACATGCTGTACTGGAAACCAGGAGCCCATACACTCTTGATTTCATTTAATCATCTTCATTATTTTCTCATTTTGCCTTTGTGTGGAGTTAATTTTCTTTTCTAACGTCTTAAATTAAATCCTCACTTTTTTAGTTTCCAGGATCTCTTCTTACCTAATATATTTTATTAGACTATTAATCTCTTTCTCAGTACCATTCCTACTGCATCCTACAAATTTTGGTTCACCATTTTCTCACAACTGTAATACAACAGCCTCTTAACATTTCCCTGCTTTCAGCGAGTAACCCAACTTAATCCAAACAGTCTATCCTGTATATTTCTGCTACACTGACATTTCTAAAATTTCCTATCTTAAATGTATCAAGATTAACTTCGCTTTCTTTAGTGTTGGATCAACCAACTTTATGCTTAGTCTTTTAACCGCATCTTCAGCCTTCTTTCCCACAGGCCCACACTCATAGCCTCACAGCAGTACCCCTAGAACAGAACTTTCTGTTGGGATGGCAATGTTCAGACCTGTACTGCTCAATATGTTAGTCGCTCACCTTTAAATGTGGCTAGTGAAGCAGAAGAATAGAATTTTAACTTTAACCTTCACAAGTTTAAATTTAACAGGTTCCGTGTGGACACTGATTCTTATACTCGACAGTGCAGCTCTCCACAGACAGAGACCATCACTCTGTGTGATTACAAGTTGGGTATCCCTTATCTAAAATGACTGGCACAAGAAGTATTTCAGATTTTGAATTTTTTCAGACTTTGGAATGAGATATCTTGGAACTATAACTCAAGTATAAATAAGAAATTTATGTTTCATGTCCATTTTATAAACATAGCCTGAAAGTAATTTTAAACAAAGCACTTGTACTTTGACCTCAACCCATCACATGAAGTCAGGTGTTGGGATTTTCCACCTGTGACATCAAGTTGGTGCTCTGAACATTTCAGGTTTTGGAGCATTTTTGGATTAGGCTGCTCAATTCCTATCTTCTAACACACCACAAATCTCACTGGTGATGATTTACATTTTTTAAATACATATATCAACCTCAGGCATGCTGATTTTTTCAGCTTCTTCCACTTCTAATCTATGCTATGCAATGCTACTGAAGTAATCCTAAAATCTTTAAGTGGCACTCTATAATTGTCAGGATGAAGGCCATGGCCCCAAGAATGGTACACAGGATACTTTATGATCTGGCCTCTCCTGCGTAATTTCTTGTCCCTCCCTAAATGTAATACAATTCCTCAACTCCTTTCCTTCAAAAAATAGAAGCCAGGAAATATTTGAGGTGCCTGACACAGATGACTGAGCAAAATGAAGATCCTTTTCTTCATGGGCTTTACATTCTTATGGGAAATGATGATAAATAGGGAGATGGATGGATACAGGCAGATAGCAGGTGACGGATGATATAGGTAGAGAGATAAAAAGATGGATGATTAATAGATGAATAGATGATTGAAAGACAACTGGATATAAACAGATTTAACACTGGGTGGTGATAACTGCAATAAAGACAATGAAGCAGGACAGGGGCAGGGAGGGATGTGGAGGTGACGCAATATTTCATTAGTTTACCTGTGTGCTCAGAGAATGTCTCACCAAAAACAGTAACATTTGAGCACAGATCTGATGAAGGAAAGGACACAGCAATGTGTCTTGTAAGGGAAGAACATTTAAGGAGAGGGAACAGAGTGTTGAAGGCCACAGAGGAGAAGCACCTGTGTACCAGGAGTATCAAGAGGTCAATGTGGCATAGAGGAGGGAGCAGCAGGCAGAGCAATGCCAGAGGATGTCCACTTCAAGTCATTCTATGGGCTCTGCTTCCCAATCTGAGTGGTGTGGGAGCCACTGGACCCAATAAGGGAGATGAAGATAGCTCCTCAAGCCATTCCTGGGACTAGCAGGCTCCCTGGAAAGCGGGTGTAGAGATGAGACTTCAGGCAGCAAGGTTGGCCACGAGAGGGTCTGAGCTCATCCCTGGGGATAGGCTTGAAGTCAAAGGAAGGGCAAAGACAGCATCCATAGGTGAAGATGAGCTGAAGACCAATAACTCAGCCCACAGCAGAAGACTGATCTCCATGCCTATCCAGAGAAGGCCACCAAGCAAGAGGAAATCAGGAAGAGAGAGAAGTGGTGGACAGAGAGTTTCGAAGAGTGGGTTAGAGGGTACATGGAGTGATGTCCAGCCCATGTGCAGCCTCATCCTGAAAGGCGGGAGAGTTCTAAGCTCCCATCTCTGAGTCTAGTTCTAATGGGAGAAGACTAACATGAATTACAGTATTTGTTCAAAGCTGTTTCCCCACTTCACAATGAAGCTAATGAAAAGTTAACAGTGAGTCTATGGTCAGGCATGAGAGGGGCTGGAACCAGCTGGATGGCTTCCTTTCTTCAGGGCTGGGCCTGTGGTGTTGTTTGAGCTAATGGGAAGTCAGTGTCCTCAAGCTGCCCTCACTGTCCTTCTTAGCCACCACCCTCCATCATCTGTGACTTGAATGGAAAGCATACCTAGAGCCTGGAAATCACCATTTCCCACTAACTTAGCATCTTTCAGACTTTGAAAAGAAAACCCTAGCCTGTCACAAGAAACTACTCCTAGAATAACTATGAGGATTTAAAAGACAAAATATATCAAAGGGCCAGATAAACGTAAGTGTCTATCAATACCCACTCCTCTTCAGCATTGTGAAGGAAGATCCAAAATAAAGAAAATAGATATTTTCTTTGATGCAATGATCAAATTTCCAGAAATATTTCACCTAGAGAGTTAGAGGGTAGAAGCTAACACAAGATATAATTTTCTATATGATGAGAAGTCAGACTTACAAAGCCAGACCAAGCTAGATTTATAACCTATTTTGATGAGCTATTCACTGTATCATTATTAACAATCACATAATCACCATGAACTTTAATTTTCTTGTATAGAAAATAAAGATAGAATGCTTGGCTACTTCCTCGACATGTGTCCACACGCATGTCTGTGTGTAACCAGTGACAATATGAGCATAAAAACATGAAGACAAGGGAGTTAATAGAAGTTAATGGAAGCACATACATGCATAGCTCCACCCTATTTATTTGAATGGGGCCTCTGACACCTAAATGAGTAAGATGGGCTCCTGATATGTGCTGAGTGTTAAAACAGCTCTGAAATAACAGGTTGGATTTAGGAACAAAACCCTTCCTTCTTTTCATCCTCACACATTCTCCTAGGCATCAGAGCCCCAGATAAGTCAACAGGATTGCTGGTGAGGCAGGGATTGCCTGTTTTCCCAGGGTCTCAGGTCCATTCTTGTTTGCATGGGCAGGGCCCCTTGATGCCACAAAATCTGCTTTCCCCTCCCATCCCCTTCCAGAAGGGGGATCAGAGGTGGGAAGTCAGGCAGAGAGCTACAGAGGAGGATGTGGTGAATGGCTTGCTATGTGAGCCTCCTTTAACTCCATTCTGTAAGACTCCTAGAATGTATCCAGCCACTGGTACATACTTGGTGAATTGTTTAATTTTTTCTAGTTTCAATATCCACTTCTGCCACAGGAGGTGATAACTCTTTCACTTGATTATAAACCTAATGCCTGTGGAAAGTACTTTGAAAAATATAAAGCCATGTACAAATGCCTTAATGTCACTATCATCAGTGATTCACATGTACCTTAACCACTTGTTCCAGTAACAATAACAACAAAACTTACACTTAATTTCCTTTAGATTGGAGGTTTGACATAGGGTCTCACTCATTATGCACCCAGGCTGGTCTCAAACTCATATCCTCCTGCCTCAAACTCCCTCATGCTGGGATTACATGGGTCTTGTAATTTCCTTTTAAAAATTATAGTTAGGAAAGCAGGAAAAAAATGCAGCCTTAACTTAAAATGTTGGGGAAAAAAATCTCTCATAAGGCAATAAAAAAAGATGTTAAAAGTAAGTCACAGAGCTTTTGCCTAGCTGTGGAAGGTCTTGTGTTCCATCCTCAGCACCAGAGAGAGTAGAGTGAGGGGAGAGCAAGGGACCAAGAGAGAGGGAGAGAGGAGCGAGAGAGAGAACCCCTGCTATTTACTGAGTGGGGTCTCCTGCTCCCACACACTGCCTTACCTGACCGGTAACGCTCATCTCGAGACCCTGAGGACCGTCGGCGGTGGTAACGAGAGGCGGAGGAAGGAGTGACAGGCACCCGGCGTTCTTGAGGCAATGCTTGATCCACCCCTGGATTTAAGGGAAAACAAGAGAGTGAGTATGAGGCTGTACTCAGGAGCTAGAGTTGGTAGGTTTTGTGGGGCAAATCTGACTCTTTTCATCCCTTTAGCAAAGCTGGAGCTGCCAGTGGGACCAGCCTAGGGTTGTCACAGTTCATGAAGAGGAGGGTGGAAATAACCTCGCCTGGAGCAGAAAAGAAGGTCGCCTGGATGTCAGAAGGCTACTTCTGCCTGGAAACTGGCACTACATTATGGGAAGAAGGATGAGGCCCAAGATACAGAATCAAGGTGTGACCCTTTTATATAGTGAGAGTATATGGGTCATAAATTCCTAAGCAAAATTTAAATTACATTTATTGTTAAAGTTAGCTTTAAAATAAATCTTGTAGGCTATTTTAACATAACTTAGGTAACCAGTCAGTTACCTGTATGCAAAATAAATTTCAGATTTGTTCACTCCAAATTACTCCATTGGACACTGACTATTGTAGCAAGGTATATTTGAATGTAGTTTGGATGAACTACATTCAAATATAAAAATGTTATCTTGTTCAGATAAAAGCGATTCAAAGATATTGGTCAAAAGGCTGACCTACATCTGTAAATCACAGCATTTACTTTGCTGATATAACAGAAGATGAGGAACACAATCCAGAGAAAGTGAAGTGCTACAGGGAAGAGTTCACCATTATGGTTCAGAAATAAGAAATTACTTCCATTAAGCACTAATGACTATGTGCTGTTTTTTCAGCAAAGAACCAGTGAAAAGAAAACAGACCCAAAAAACAGAAACAAATGTTAATCCCTGGTTTTCCATGATGGGTTCCCATGAGAGTTCATTGTCTTTTCTTCTGGTGACTTCTGCACAACTTTTGGCAGCATGCTTGTGGTTTCCCATGGTAGGTTTACGTACATCACAGCTGTAAGAACTACAAATCCTGGGCTGTTCCTCTTCATTAGCTCTCGTTTAGCTAGCATATGAAAATTATTAACAGCATACAGTGACCAAACCTCTTCCAGTTATTCTCTACAAATGATCTTCTGGAAATTTACCTTTTGTTCTTATCAAACAGATGCCATGTTTATGAAATCAAAGCATCCTGCATAAAAACAGACACCTGTTCTTTACATTCATGTTCATAAACATGGAAATCTAACCCTACCTCTAGAACTGTCCACATCAGACAACACATGACTTCTCCTTCACGCCACAGTATCCTCCAACTGTCACTGTGTGGATTATGTGAAGATGGTGAAAGCCACAGGGCCAGTGGTAGGTGACAAATGCTTCCTATCTTACATTTTTTGATGACTCTAGAGTTAACATGTGCATCTTTCTTTTCATTATTATGGCTTTCAATGTATCTATTGCTGGTCCCTTCAAAATATTCCAGCAGAACTAAAAATTCCTTTCTCGTATTTTTCTTCTCCTGTCAAACACTGACAACCTGGTAATAAATTTTTGGTTCAATTCTTGTTTCATTAATGTTCTCTTGGAATCCCACCCTCCTGCTCTAACTTCCATCCTTATACCTGATGTGCTACATAGGAGTCCCTCTGCCCTAGATTTGCTTTTGCTCTGTATCGTGTTGGGTCATTTATTCCTTACATCTCAAAATGTCTTTTTCTTACCTTCCCCTCATATTTGAAAGGTGCATCTTTAGTAGTTTCTTCAGAAAGCATGAAAGAGAAGTAATATATGGCGTCTCTGCATGCACCAAACCGTGTCTTGTACCTTCATGAGACTAGGTCGTTTGCTGAGACACGGAATTCTAGATGACAATTGCTTTCATTCACTGCCTTCTGCTTCATTATTGTTGAAAAGTCAAATGTCACAAAAATGCAATAACCTTTACATAATCTCTCTTTTCTCCCATGTCAACTTTTACCACCTCCTGTTTATTCCCACGGAAGGAGATAAAAATCAGCGTTTTCACTCATGACAGGCACCAACAGAGCTCATTCCAGTAGGTCTTTTATTTGGGCTGCTTGTTTTTTTCTTGGCTGTGACTTCACACAGGCAAGCACACACACACTGATTTAGTGCCTCTGTGTTTAGTACTACCTGCCTCTCTCCAAACCTGGAGAGACGCTGAGAACAAACATGTAGGAGGCCTGGGCAGAGGTGGCCACTGTTTCCTGTTGGCCATTGTTTCTTTTTTCAGCTCTGTGCCAGGTGGTGCCTGTGATTTCCAACAGTAGCTTCATCTTTTTGGCTTTCTCCACTTTGCTAATAACTGCCCTACTTTATGTTCCACACATACTTGCAGTGGTTGTTCCCATTCTCTTGTTCTGTGGGCTTAGACGTTACACACAGACATCTTGGTGCAGTTTGAGAAGAAGCAAAGATAGATATATACTTTCAAGATCTAAGTTCACCAGTGGCCTGATTTCGTTTGTAAATATGTAGCCTTCAACCTCAGTGCTGTTACTACTCTTCTTACCTCTAGAACATGCAGATATGCATCCTGGAGTTACTTTCGCTTTTCCCCTCTTGGAAGCTACAATATATAGAGTTGTAGGCTGTTATTTGGCTTTTCACAGGCTTATGTGGCTATTCTCAGAAAGCTAATTTTGCATATAAACATTAGGAATATTTTCTCTCATAGGTTGAAATGCAGTTTACAACACAAGCTTTAAAAAAGAAAGAAATAAAAGAAACTAGACAAAACAGCTTCAACAGGTTGCCAGCAATGGGACATTTTTTTAAAGTAGAATATTAATGTGCCTATGTCATTCACTAATTTCTATCTGACCTCACTGCAAATGAGATTTGAGGTGGCTTAAAGGAATGCTCTAACAGGAAAAGATCACCATTTGGGTAGCCAGCTCTTCATTAGAATTCAAACTATTTTCATAGGAAGACCAAGGTCACTGGGAGGTCGCCCTCCTTGTTCATCCTAAGGGAACTGATCAAACTCTGCTGCTAGAGAGATGCCTCCTTGACAACACAGATATGAAATATTGGCAAAATACATAATCATAGTTTGATGTTCACCACTGTGGAGGGCTCACACTCAAATAGCTTATTGTGGGGACCAGGACTAAAAACCTGTTCTCAGGAAATCCACAGCAAGACCAGAGCATGGTCAAGATTAGGAGGCTGATGAGGTCACAGGAAAGAAAGGCATCCCAAAGAAGACAGGACAGCTATCCCCCAACACAAGGCAGAGAGGAGAATCAATACTTCTGCTTAAGCAAAAACATAACAAAGGTCAAGACCAAATCCCTTCCGCCACAAATATTTAGTAGACATTGACATGTTAGCATGTGCTTAAGCACAAAATTAGCTCCAGATCCCAAAACACAACGAACCAAAACAGCACCACAGAGAAATCCTGTGCTCTGGAGTCACAGGCCCTGGGATCTGTTTTGCCTCCAGTTGCTATCTGCAACCAATGGCAAGTCCCTTGCCCTTTCCAAGGCTTAGTTTTGCATCTTTAGGCAGAAATGATAATCACAGGTAACACTGTTGAGTACTGCCTTAGTGCTTTCTTAATTCATTTGGCTTCCTGACTAACCACCATGAGATCGGTGATGCTGGCTCTGCCTGTTTATTGATGTAGGCATGCACACACGGAAATAGGGTTTGAACTCAGGCAGTCTGTGCCCCTGTGTCACATCTGAACATTCTTTTTACTTCTAGTTTCCTTTTTATTTGTGACAGGGGTCCTTCCTGAGTTCTCCCATATACTTGTCCTCTGAGCACCATGCATTCCTGATGCCTCACTGCCCTGCTCTCCCGAGGGGAAGCCCTTTAACTAAGTCCAGTTCAGCATTGTCCTCCTGGGGCCTATAACAGCCGCATATGAATGCTCACAACATAACTTGCTAAGTGAATAAAATCTAGCTCCTACCTTGAAGCCATGTGGCAGCATTTTTGTGATCATTTTACAAAAGTCTGTGTTTACTCAACAGCAGTCTTCTAAGATAATATGCAAACTGCTCCAATTTCAGGAACCAAACTTGGAGCCAATAAAGCTGATGGGATCATCTAACACAAAGATAGATTTAATCAGGTCTTTACTACAGAGACAGACAATTTAAGAGCCAGGCAAAACTCCCCACAAGGCCAGCACAGCTCCTGCCCACAGTTGGACTCCACAAATATTTCCAAAACAATGAGTAATTTTCCAGGGCTCCTATCAGGGCTGGGCCATCTCAATTTAAATAATAACAATGCCAGTGAGATTTCTGTTTTCCCCCAGAATTGGACCTACTGGAGATTTCATTTCTCTTTACCCTGCTGACCACAGAAGAAAGCTCCCAACTCCTCCATCTGAACAGAACCTCAGCTTACCTTCCAAGACAAATAGAAACTCACTAGCCCCAAGTGTTTGCCCTGCCCCACCAATACTCTCAGTTCTTCAAATGTTCATCTACCTACCAAATGTGAAAAATCTGTTTAAGACCAAAGGGAAAGAAACCAGAGAAGGTACTGTTAGAACTTCATCAATTTCTTCCACCACATAATTAAGAAAGGATTCCCCAAAGAAAATTCCTAATGAACTTCTGACTCCTAAACAACCCATCAATTTCAGATTAGTAAATAAGTGCAGTAGAGTATTTCATTCATACTATGGAAAAAACAGCCCTCACGTTAACTCAAGAATAAGGCACCCATGGGCCAACCATTCATCTCTCTAACATTCTGCCTGACAGATCAGAAGACAACTCAGCAGTAGAGATGCATTTGGTTATTTAGGATATTAAACGTGCTAAGAAACATCAGGATTTCTAAATTCAGACTACAAGAGAAATACATTGAAAATCTTGGCTTTCAATAAATTTCAAAAAGAAATCAAGAGGAATATGTGGAGGGAAACTTAACATATAGGATTTAAGGTGAACAGATGTAAACTCTGGTCTTATTCTCAATCACTGTGTCCCTTGGGTGAGTCACCCAGCCTCTAAACCTCGGATTCCATGTGTATGAGGAAGGATGTAGTTGTGGATGTCTGTTCTGTGAGTGACAGCCACCTCCCAGGGTGCCCACTGGAGCTCATCTCTCCCAGCCCCTTCCCTGGCACTGACAACAGGCCTATGTGCCAATGGGCCATCCTGAGAGTTCTGTGGAAGCTACCAGAGGCTGCCATGCAGCCTAAGAGTCCTTGTGAAATTTATGGGGAATTTTCCATATTTCAAGTCTGTCCAAAACCATTTCTGAATTGAGTCCCATTCTCTTCCAGCACCTAATTATACCCTCCAGTTAACACGGCAGCACTAATTGTTGCAATAAGTACAATCAAGGACTTTGCCAGAAAGTAAACAGTGCTTGTTGCATGTACAAATAAGAAACTTACTACACTTGCTTTGCTTTGACACGGATGAGAACATTATAAACAGAAGAGTGAAATTTCATCCTAGGCACTTTAATATCTACCCAACCATACAAACCTCATTCTTACATTACTGTCAATTGTTATTTCTCTCTCTTCTTTTACAAACATAGATCTCTGCCATAAATCCATTTAATAATCATTTATTATAATATTAAAATTTGATTAAGAACTCACAAGTTGTGAAAATGTAAAAGGTCTGGATTGGCACTTTCAAGAGTTTGACATTTGCATCTGATTTCACCAGCTCAACCTTTGGCTTGTGTTTGGGTAAGATGACAAGTTTCAGCTAGCTATTGTGGTGCACTTCTGTAATCTCAGCACTCAGGAGGCTGAGGCAGAAGGATTGCCATCCTATTCGGTGGACATACCCAGCTCATCTTCAACCCCAAAAATAAAGCGTGACAGCATGCTTAGCTGTGTTCCCTTTTAACTACTAATATCTTTGACCAGGAACCTGATTTGTTAAATGCCACAAAAACCAAAAGGAAGTTCATCTGATCAAATCAACACTGTATGAAAGAGTATGTCTTAGATAACTGAAAACAGCACACTCTGCATGACTGACTAAGAACAAGACTTACCTACAACAAAGGCACTCAAGCTGGAAAGAGATGATGTTGAGTCACAGACACTTAACACCACATTAACACCCACTTCTCCTCTCCTGGGATTTAACCTTGCATCTTAGCCTGGAACTCTCCAGGCGACAGGCTTGTTTGTCTCTCAGCCTAGGCTAGGAAGAAGTCATATGTGCTAGCAAATGTGGCCTCTATGTCCAGGATAGAAATGCACCTCAGTCACAAGATGGAATTTTTGGGCAGAATGAAAGTGGCACCTGCCACTGAGGAAGCACAGAGGTTAATGTGAAGAATCAGAACAGACACACAACAGACCCCAGCTAACCACTTCTCTGAATGTTCTCTTGCCATCTCAGGGCAAGGAAACACTAACTGCCCTTGTTGCCATACCCCACATGACATGATGCAGCAAGCACAGGGGTAGGAGAGGAATTTGGGGGTCAGAGGAGCCAGCCACTGTCCCATTTTGCCTCCTCTGACCACACGAAGATTATGAAACAGCCTGCACTCACCTATGGACAGGCAGTGTTTACTGTGTGCAGAGGATGAGGGATTGATTCTTAGGCAGTTTACATCCTGCCCCCAGCACTTGGGTAGAACATCAAATCACAACTATGGGAAGTGCTTCAGAAGCAGGATTCCATAAGGACCTGGACCTAAGGCTGTCCTAAGTGGAGGGACCAAGGGAGAAATACTTGAGGAAGTGATTTTGAGCTGAGCATTAAACAAAACTCAGTGTGGGTCAAGGGCACAGCATGCACAGAATCCCTAATGTGGGAAAGAAACAGCATGGACGTCTGGAGAAGCTGGAAAAGCACTGCAGGGAGAGGAGGTGGAGCCAAAGACAGCCAGGGTGCAGAGGGGCAACAGCTGGCCTGGGCCGCATGACCCACACACCACGTGGGGCTGTCTGTGGTCTCCAGTGGAAGCAGTCAGGGACTTATACATTCTCATTAACCTCAGAGGCTATGCAGGTGGATCCTACTGGCCAGTAGAGAAAGAAGACAGACTTGCCAACTGGCTCATACTAGCTAAATTCACCAAAACCTCTTACTTAGGTACACAATCCTCAGACCTTATATCTAAGCATAAAGCTGTCTGGCTGAATTAAAAGCAGGCTGAGCTTGGAGTCAGCATCTACATAAATGGCTCCATGCTGAGAAACACTTCATGGACAGCCATGTAACAAGTGATGCCTAGCCAATGCACATAAGAGAGAGGGACTATATTTGGGCAAGGAAAGTTTTACTATTTATAGTAACACTGAGATTCTGCTACTTTCCACTGTCCTGCCAAGTGCTCTGAAAGCAGTAAGGACTCATTATATAAGCCGACACTCTTACCTGAAGGCAGTGCTAGAAAGTGGGTTCTACTTTCTATTTTTATAAGTTTAATCAGGTTTAGAGATTAATGAGAAATGATTTTGAAAGAGACACTATGTTGCCAGAAAACTACAAGAGGGAGAGGGCCAAATGTGTAAGTTCCCCTAAGCACTACTTTCTTTGGAAAATGATTTTCAACCTGCCCCTTCTGATGCCCTTCCTTCATTAACTTTCATGTTACTTTAGAGCACACCATTCTGATTCTGGATTTAGGTGGGCATTCAGCATTGTGCTCAGCAGACAGCTCACCTTCCAGCATATGTGTCACCACTAGATCTCCACAGCCTTACTTCCTGAGTAACAATGAAAAGCCAGCAGACGACACTTTCCTCTGGGAAGGAATCACGACTTGGCAGCTCTGGCTTGAGCCCTGCTAATTTCACCTTAGTATCATTTGAATTCATAATCATGTATACCAAGCAACATTTTACAAATATTTCTGGAATGCTCTCTGGAGAAATCTTAATATTTTCTTTGGTAAATAAAAATAGTATAAAAGAACAAGTCCATCTAATCACAAACCCCTTATAGCAAAGGGTAGTGTAGTATAAGGATGAATGGAAATAAAAAAAAGGATGTTTTTCACACAGATCTCAGTCAGAGAGAACTATTCCCCAAACGGGACCAGCCAAGAAAGAATTCTCTGCTTTAGGGAACACTGGTTGTATTTACTGCTCCCAGAGAACATGTCCTGAAGGATGAGTGATTGATCACACAGCAGCAACACCTCAGGAAGAGATCTGTGGTAAAAACCGAAGAAGTAGCTGAGAACTAAGCCCCTATTCTAAAATATGATGCCATGATCTAAAGTCTTAGCAGGGTCAGATCGTGAGTTCCTCTTTATGGAGGGGGGCAGCACTTTGAGTAAGTTCTCTTTTCTTCACATTTTTATCAGAAACTCTGAAATGGTCTTCACTACTAACACCAAACTCTGTCACATAGTCTTTAATCCTTCATCCTTTCCCCACAAGGTCATAATAACTGTTAGCAAGGTCACTAGGAAGGCAAACTGGCAAGCCAAAGCTGAGACACAATTGGGAGGTCCACTTTTGAGATTCTAGAGACCACTTGTAATCATCTCAACATTTATATGTGATTTCTTTATTTTTTTTGTGGTGCTAGGGATCAAACCCAGGGCCTCCTACATGCAAGGCAAGTGCTCTACCACTAAGCCACTCTTTCAGCTTCATTATTTATACATGATTTTAAAACGAAGCATTTTATTTGAGACATAACCTTGAACATGAACCCAAAGACCCAATCTATAAATGTTTATTTCCTTGTTCTTTTAAAGGGTGTTTTGAAGTCACCTTTTGCTGTTTGAGCTGCTTCTATGAAAAACACCATCCAAAGTAATTGTGACCTTTCCTTAGATTCTTACATGTAAGAACAGTTGGTTTAATTTTTCTGTTTCAAAATGTGTACTTTTGCTCTGTGGTGTTAGGAATAACACAAAGCTCTAGACCTCCACTTCACTCCTTTTAGCACAGCTCAGAGGCTAATACTTAATCACTCATTCTCTGCCCAGTTTCTGGCTTTAACAGAAAGATTAGAAGATCGACAATTTTAAGAAGAATGCCATGATTTGTCACACATACTTCTTTCTCAACTGCTTCCAACAGGTCCTCCAACTGAGAATAGGGTTGAAGACAAAGACCATTCTATTTTAACCGGGACAATCCTATCCAGGCAAGCTCTGTGATTAAAGAACATGGCAGGAGCTCCCTGGGGACAGTCCCCTGGCTCCTCCTGTCCACTCCCTACCCTGTGCATGGACTTCCACACTGTCCCCTGCCCTGGGTCTCTGTCTGGGCCACGCAGCGCTCACCGAAGCGAAAGTAAAACAGAGGCCGGTTCCCTGTGGCGCTGGCCACCCGCTCCCGGGCTGCTGCTTCTCGGACGTCACACACCCCGATGTGGGCAGAGCGGAATGGTCTCCTCGTCGACACGTCACTGTGCTGCAGTCTACACCGAACCACGGCAGCTCCATTCGCTGCTGTAACAAGTTGAAAAAAAACTAATTAATTCAGACTTTAGTTTTTTTTAAATTTGTTACAGCGCTGAGCAGAGCTGCCGACCCCATGCAGAACAGCACACAGACCAAAGGGACCTCCAGACACCGAGGCCCTTTGTCACCAGATAGCAGCCCTCAGTTCTGACCCAGCAGCAGCTCCAGAACGGGCCTCCAGCAAAGTGAGAAACTGCTCACTGTTTCACTTTTGTTTGGTAAGACAAAGGAATCAGAATTCAACCACATCAAGTCCCACCAACCTTTCTGGGACATTAAGGCACCAGCAGACAGGAATTCACATGTGGCCTCTGAAATAGCCAAAGGGTTCTCTTAGAAGACCAGAGCAAAGAGGAAAGGCCAAGAAATACATCTGGCCCTAAGTCTTTCATCCAGGGCCTTCAGCCAGCCCTTCATCCTCTCTTCTCCCAGGTAAAACAATGCTCCTTCCTTTCACATTCAAGGTCACACCAAATCCAGCCCTAAACACATGGTGCACCTGCTGTATCAACTTCAAAGATCAAAGAAAGAAAGGAGGACCAAAAAACCCCACACTTGCAAAAATCAAAACTCCACAACAAAACTACAAGCACAACAGAAACCCAACACATTAGCTGTTCCCTGGAACATAACTTCCCTGGCACTCTCCTTACTATGCTGACACTATACCTGTGAAGGTGTCAGAACCCCAGATCCAAGAGAGCTGGGGTGCATGGAGGTGCAGACATTGGTGTGCTAAAACCTTCGGAAACTTTGTTTCGGCAGTGAAATCTGTAGAGCTCCCTTTTCACCTTTTTAAAATCTATGTTACTATACTTTTATTTTGAGGAAGAAAAATTATTTGCATTAGCCTTGAGTCATTCCTAAAGCCTAGCAAAAATTCAAGGTCACCCTCCAAGTGAACTGAGTTGACACAGGAAACCAGGTACTAGAACTCCAGTCTAGTACAGGTTTCTTTATTCTGAAATTGACAGGACCTAGCTCAAGTGCAAAGACATTCTTCATATTTGTACATGTAAAATTGCTGGAAGGAAACAGATTTGATACATCACAAGAATCAGCAACATACAATTTACAACCACCTCTCAAAACACAACCAACCTTTACAATTTCCTAATTCCAGGCAGGACACCATATCATTTTCTAGACCCAACAGGTTTCTCACTCACATGAATCCACAAAAACCTTCTTGAATTTAAACCATAATCAATAATGATAATTAGCTCTCTAAACCAAAAATCATGTTGAAATCACAAATGCTCATTTTTTTATGATTATACCATTTCAAGGCAATCAATAGATTATTGATCTCTACCTGCAAATGAAATATCTATTAAATTAGGCATGTTTATAGAAAAACCACATGTGCCTTCTATATTCACAAAATGTATGTGTACTCATACAAAGGAATCGGGCGTGGTGAGTCTGCACATCAAATGTGTGACCTTCGTGCAGAGTCTGAACTAAGGAAAAGATTGCTCTCAGTTCCTTCAGCCTTTAACTTCTAAAACTAGGCAATTTATGCTAGTCATCAATGTGTACGTACTCGGAGGCTGGGGAAGGTAGGCTCCAATTAATTTTGACCTCTTCTTTTCATATCCCTTTTGTGTGATGTCACCTGCAAGAGAAGGAAAAAAAGAGAAAAAAATTCAGAATGGTTTCAGTAGAAAGTTGGTCATTTAATGAAGTCTAAGAAAGCATACTGACAGTTACAACTAAATCTTTTATTTGCCTTATAATTAGAATTTGAGAAAGAAAACACTGTATATCCTTCACCTTGACTTCTTCCCTTGCCCTCGAGCAACAACATTACAGCACTCATGTTACATAAAACTCATTTTCTCAGTACATGCTTGGCCCTGGCCCCTTCTGGCTTGGTTTCAGCTCTGAGGGGTCAGAATTAGATCTGTGCAATCTTATTCACGTCTGCTGGCTCAGGAAGCCTGCCCAATCTGCACCGGAGAGCTCTCGTGACTTCATCAACAATGGATTGTGAAACTGTCTGGGTTGGGAACAGCTGGCCGACACCATTACTGATTGGCTGCTTCTTCCATTAATGAGAGATTTTCCTTTTAATCAGGCATGTCAGTCACAAGGACTTTAAACTATGAAGGTATTTTTGAAAAATAAATGACCGAGGCCAGAAGAAGCATTAGATAAACCAAAGCAAAAGAACACGAACCTACTGAAATCCAGAATATATGAGAAAACTACTTATGATTCAAAGAAGAAGTCAAAGGATAAAGGCAAGAGTCTCATGGAGATAACATGGGAGATCAGGACTACGTTTACATTTTTTTCCTAAGTGCTAAGCTGCTAAGTATGGGACAAAAACAACATCTATTAACAAACAACAGCCTTTTCTCTCTGGTGTAAGAAGGTTTGGACTTAGGTCTTCACATCTGCCAGGCAAGCACACTACCACTTGAGCCATCCCCACAACCCCTACTAGAATTATTTTTATTGTTGTTGTTGTTGTTATTTGTGGTGGTGGGTTCGGAGATAGGGTCTGGCTTTGTAGCCAGGCTGTCCTAGAACCAGCATCTAGCCAAGGCTGGCCTCCAGCCCATCCTCCTGCCTCTGCCTTCCAAGTGCTAAGATCTCAGGCACATACCCACAATGGCTTTTTTCTAACTGAAAGCTAAGGTGCACAGAATACCAACTTTTGCTCTTGTAATTTTTTTTGACTCTGTTAAGAATTCTTTCTAATATTCTGATCAAACTATCATACTTCAAAGAGCAAAATAAATCAAGTTTCAACAAAAACAGTGCAAACAGCCCTCATCATGCATTGCGTTTGATGACTCACTCTACAAACTCACAGCGTGCTGTCCAGATTTGCCATACTCCTAGCAAAATGCATGGCCAGTATCTAAATGTGAAGCCATAAAGCGACAGAAAGCTATGGAATGTGCATCCTAATATCAGCAGATCACCATCTTTATGCTGAAGGTATAATATCCAGCCATTGTGAATGAAGAGATCCACACAAACACTAAGCCAGCTCTCCTATCCGTGGTGTATGTTACAGCTGCAACCATTAGCTGTTCTCCAGAGGCTTCCCATCACTTTTCTAAGTGCCCCAGTAAATCTCTTGTTTTAAAAACGACGTCCAAAATCTCACCAGCACTACCACCATACAGGTATTGACATGTCTGGAATATCTTTGTGATTCATGAGAAGGGAACAAGTTACTGTATTAGAAGGCTGGCTGTGAAGTTTATTTTCACACATTACCCTTTTGATTTTGCTCTATAAACAACTACACCTGTTAACACAGCAAGAACAAGAGAGATGTTTGACTTTGAAGAAACATGATAAAAACAATATAGAGAAGAAATAAAACCTTGAAGCCTTTGAGAGCCTAGCCCATCAATGAAAGGAGAACTGTCAATGGGTAGACAGCCCCCCACCATCTGCTTCATTTCAACATGCCTGGGGGAGAATTAAGCCATAAAAAGGAATCACTTCCCAGGGGGCACTGGGGCAGGTTCTGGCTGACCTAAACTCCCATCTACTGTCACAGGAAAGGTGGCTCATCCTGCCCTTAGATGGTGAAGCAGAAATGACCCCTCCATACCCTGTGCCCAGCTCACTGGGAAACACACAAAAGGCAGCTGCTCCAGATCCTGCAGGAACAGTAAATTATTTTACGCCATGTAAAATAACGGGTTCCCCCAGCCATTCTTTGAAAGTAACAGAAGTATTGAAGACACTGGTTTTCACATTAATTGTGACACTGCTTAATCCAATTTGTCTCCTGCTCAGTAATGTAAAAAGTGAAAACCACAGACTGCTCCCTGCACAGAAGGATGCCCAGGGGGAAAGAAAAGGCAGGAAAAGCAGCAAATCAGGGTGCATATATGTGAGGGGTGACAATAGAGGAACACACTTCAGCCTCTCTCGGAGAAAGATGTTACCTTAGCACACTGGAAAAACTCTGAAATGGTCAGCCTTTCCAGACACATGTCCTGGCTGTCCCCCACATCTTGGTCTTATTGCTGTTTTTATAATTCTAGGACCAGGTTCTGATAAGCCTTGGCCTCACTCCACATTTTGTTCTACACTGCAAACTGAACTCAAGTTTCACTTATTTCTCAAATGAACATTTAAGTGTGGGGGAGGGGTTCCCTTAATTTTTACTATTGGCCAACTTCAAAGGAAATGAGTTGTGAACTCTGCCTTACTTGGGATTTGGTCTAACTTTGGGAAACTCAGATTGCTAAAACCTTAATACTAAAGAAAATTACATATGTTCTTTTTGCAGGATTCCTTCTCTAAGGAAGGGAATGTTAATGTCAGCCTAACAAGGTGTGTCCCCTCAGGTCTCCTGCATGGGTTTAGATGCAAATCCCAGAAAAAGATTTTTTGATACTTCAAAGTAGGCATTTTATTTGGTTTGATTACTAAACTGTGCCTATTATACAGTCAGCACTGAACCTTTCCAGGCAGGACTTCAAGGAATCCCAAGTTGACACTCTTTCAGAACCTAGAAAGGTTGAAGTGAGATGCTACAGAAAGACTTCCACACGGCACACACTTTACCCAAACCAGGGTGGGCAAACTGAGTCACACAGGCCAAGTCCAGCCTTCCAGTCTGTGTATGAAACAGGCTTCACTGGCTGACAGCCTGGCCCCTTGCAGTGCTGTAGGGGCAAAGCTGAGCAGCTGGCACTTGGCCTATGTCAAAGCCAAAACCATTCTTGCTTAGCCCTTTATAAAAAAGTCTACAGACCTCTGTCCCAAATATCCTAGGTCATCGCTTATATTCCTTATGACAACTGACTTTGCAGTGAGAAACTGAGGCATAAATAGTATTTATGTTTCCTATCCAGGACTTCAAAACCTTTTTCCATTGAAATCATACCCAGAATCTTCATTCTAACTCAAACTAGTGTGGTCAGTGTACAGAGAACAGACCCTGGCTCTCCTGGGTGTAACTATGGATTCTAGCCCTTGGATATCCTGCCCAGTTCTCTAAATGGCTCTGGTTGCTGGCCTTGGACCCCATTTTCTGGTCTGCTCCCCCTGGATCCCTCCAGGCTTTGGGTGCACGCAGCACAGGTGATGGTGGTGCTGTTCTCACAGTGTCTTGGATGGCTGCCTGTGCTTCATTTTTGTAACACATAGACAAAAACAGCTTATCCCAAAACCAGAGTGTGAAGCCTTCATGAAAGGGACCAGATCCTACAAAACTCAGACAGACTTATTTTGCAACCCAGGGGCCTATGCTGATAAAGTTACTCATAAAGTAGCACAAAACACAGGTTTCTAACTCTGAAACAGAGAGAGTCGGGAATCCTCACCTGGACAGAAGCAGCAGCACTGACAATCAGGGAAAATACAGGGTGATGATTTAACTGCTTGGCAACTATGTGGAGGGGGAGGGGGAGAGACAATCCATATTGACTCTATTATCAAAATGCATCAGACAACAGCTCAAGTTGTAGACTATCCAAAAGGTTCCAATGTCTGTGGCACTGGAACTGGTTTGCGTGGGTCCACAGCACTGGAGCTAAAAATATCCTGGCTATGATTTACAACCAGAACTACTTTAGCATCTGGTAGAAAGAGGCCCAACAGAGTAGGACAAACTCTCATTGCAAATTCATATAAACAAACTTTCCAGTATGGGGCTTTTTTGACTTGCCTTTTTTTTGAAACAACCAATGATTTATGTGCTAATAAAGATATATGGATGACAGTTACATAATAGGTGATAGGCTATATTAGATCCTAGATGACAACGAGAATGCATGGATAACAGACAATTGATAGATGACACAGACAGCTAGAAAAAGACAGGTAGAATGAATAGATTGATGGGTAGATAATGAAAACATAGACAGAAGCTAGCTGGCTGACTTTAAGCAAACATTGTCCTCCCAGACACCTCCCTATTTCTATCCAAGGCCTGACCCACGATCAGTGCCCTGCTGTCACTATGGAAACAGAGAGCATTCTGCAGTTTCTCCATTTGACATCAGATCGGCTGAACGACCAACTGGCTGCTCCCTTTCTTTCCACCTCTCAGCAGATCTATGTGAAGCCCACAGTCTTCAGGGTGAAACCACATAAATTAAAGGCACAAAAGCTGTAAGAGGGGCAAGCAGATCTCCAACTCAAATTTCGAAGCAGTTCACTTTATAGCTATTATTCCACAAGACATGCCCCATGATTCATAGCAGGGTCGTCGTTAGTATTCCTCGAACCTAGAAGCTAAAGAAACATCCTTGAAGGATATCTTGAAAGTCAATTCTAATCAATAGAAGCCTATTAGATGCTAAAGAATTTTTCTAATTCTAAATGTATATCTAAAGAATTTTTCTCCTTCAAAAGTAGTTGCTAACATAAAAAGACTTGAACCACAAAATCATTTGCCTGCGTATTTTCCATAGAAAATGCCAAAGAGCATATTTTCCATGCTTCGATACTCAAGACACCCATTTATTTAACTCCCCTTTCACTTTAGGAATAAGAAAAGTATGACCAAGAAGTAAATGCAGAAATTGCAGCCTCAGAGAGAAAATAAAAGTGATCTTTTGAGACACTGTCTACCTTTTAAAAAATGCCACTTGTTTTTCTCAGAGAAATTCTGTAATAAAAATTCGAGCAGTA